ACAACGACGATAAGGATGAAATATTTTGAGTGTAAATAACAGCAACGATAAGGATGAAGTATTTTGAGTGTAAATAACAGCGACGATATAGTAGGGATATTTTGAGTGTAAATAACAGCAACGATAAGAAAATAATATTTTGAGTGTAAATAACAGCGACGATATAGTAGGGATATTTTGAGTGTAAATAACAACGACGATAAGGATGAAATATTTTGAGCAACGATAAGAAAATAATATTTTGAGTGTAAATAACAGCAACGATAAGGTAGAAATATTTTGAGTGTAAATAACAGCAACGATAAGGAAGGAATATTTTGAGTGTAAATAACAGCAACGATAAGGAAGGAATATTTTGAGTGTAAATAACAGCAACGATAAGGAAGGAATATTTTGAGTGTAAATAACAGCAACGATAAGGAAGGAATATTTTGAGTGTAAATAATAACGACTTGCAATCATCACAATAAATCACTTAAAGATTTGAACTAAGTTCAAACGAAGAAGGAGAAAACTAATTTTTGGGACGATTTTTTGACATTCTTGACTTACTTAACGATATTATGATTTACACCTCCAAATAACATACAATAGTTTAATAATATTACCCCGCTTTTAAACCGAACCCTAGTGTCTCAGGTGTTAGTGAGTTTATAACACTAAAAATCGGGTTTTAATCCCCGCGGTAACACATATAACCCATAGTAAACAGCCCACTGAGTGCGTTATATGAGTAACGGTAAAATTCCACAATTCAGCCAGACAGGAGTAGCTCAAGAGGTGACAGTGGGTGCTGTTGCTTGGCTGCCCTCCCTCTTATCTAGTAGCTCAAAATTGTGGAAGCCCGGCATGGCCAGGTGGTTAGGGAGCTCGTTTTGCAATCTGCGGGTCGCGGGTTCGAAACCCCGTCTCACCAAACATGCTCGCCCTTTCAGCCGTGGGGGCGTTATAATGTGACGATCTATCCCACTATTCGTTGGTAAAAGAGTAGCCCAAGAGTTGGCGGTGGGTGGTGATGACTAGCTACCTTCCCTCTAGTCCTACACTGCTAGATTAGGGACGGCTAGCGCCATCTTGTAGCAACTACATGCTGAACATCGATTGGTCTGCGGCACTGAAGAACTTAACTTGATTACCTTTTTGTATATTGAGTAACTGATGACATCAATAAATAAAGTTCAACAGAACATTTTCTCGTAACAACAGCTGTTGGAGTTACACCATTTGTTAGATAAAACAAACACAATTACTAGATGAAGTCGTGTTCCCCAAGCAACAATGGAATTGTCAATAAAAACAGCAAAAAAACGCCTCTACCAATACGAAGATACATCCTTACAAACACTAACAACAAAGCACACGTGCCCCCCAGTGGCACAGCGGTATGTCTGCGGAGTTACAACGCTAGAAACCGGGTTTCGATACCCGTGGTGGGCAGAGCACAGATGGCCCATTGTGTAGCTTTGTGCATAAGTTCAGAAAAAAAAGCACGCCCTATCTCACCAAGATGTTCTTACCAACACCACCAACAACACACAAAAAGGCCCTTAATAGCAACAAAATTCACCACTCCCAAAACCAAAATACACCCTCATCAACACACTCCTTTAGTAACACCAAAATAACCCCACCCCCGGAACGGCCCGGCA